GTTGTGTTCATCCAGCTGTACACTTTGTTATCCCAGCTTGTCCTTCCTCCCACCTATCCCCTCCTCCCACCTCAAGCCCCACCCCCATCTCCTACCTACTAACCTCATCCTGCCCCCTCGACCTGTCCGTCCTCCCTGGACTGACCTATCCCCTCCCTAACTCCCCACCTACACTCACCTTTACTGGCTCCACCCTCACCTCTTTGACCTGTCTGTCTCCTCTCCACCTATCTTCTCCTTTATCCATCTTCTTTCCGCCTCCCCCTCTCTCCCTATTTATTTCAGAATCCCCTTCCCTTCCCCCACTTCTGAAGAAGGGTCTAGGCCCGAAACGTCAGCTTTCCTGCTCCTCTGATGCTGCTTGGCCTGCTGTGTTCATTCAGCTGTACACCTTGTCATGCTAGTTATTTAAACAGCTTTAGAAAACCTTAGAATTTTTGTCTCTTTTTAAGAGCCATTTTGTTTAAGTGTGTGCTGTGAATGAACGTGATGTATATTGTATCAGAATTCAGAAGAAGCAAATTGAGAAATTTAGGGAAAGAGAGAAAATGCAGCAATTTTCTTGAGCAGTTGCTGACAGGTTCTGGCTTTTTCAAACATCGTCTTTTGTAATTTAAGAAGTACTGGTTAAATATTGCCAAGTGTTAGGCAATGACATGATGGTAAATTGGTTTGAACTCTTTAATAAGTTCCCAATTTTACATATTACGCTCTGCAGGATGAATGTTCTTTTCATGAAAGCCACAGCAATGAGGTTTACATGAAATGGGAGGAAGGGGAAAGCACACTGTTTTCAGGATAGAAAATACAAATGCTTTTTGGGTAGTGTATAGTGTGTACATATTGATGTTCCGAGAGACTTGCGTTTGCTTATAGAAGGAACATACAGTTCACTTGCAGGCATCCCAAGCTTAGGAAGGCAAATGGCAAGTTGACTTTTATTGCAAGGGGGTTTGGAGAACAATAATGAAGAATTTTTATTCCAAATACAAAGAGCGTTTGTGAGACCATGTCTGAAACCCAGTGCACAGTTTTAGTCTCCGTATCTAAGGAAACTTGTCTGGAAATGGGACAGTGAATGATCGTTAGGTTGGTCCCAGGGATGAGTGGGTGTAAATTGGGTCCGTTTTCTCTGGAGCTTAGAAGAATGAGAGGTGGTACTCCTAGAAACATATCGGACTTTTCAGGGGCTTGATAGGATTGATTGCTGAGAGGTTGCTTTACCACGCTGGGGAATTGAGAACAAGAGGGCAGAACCACCGGATAATGGGATGATTATTTATGGCTAAGATGAAGTTTCCCAAATTTGTGAGCCTTTGTAATTTCTTAACCCAGGGGTTTCTGGCCACTCTATAAATTGAAGATATTGAACGCTGAGAGAGATGAATTTTTGATCTCGGGGAATTGAGAGGAATGGAAGCAGGTGAGGGAGTGGAGCTGAGATATCAATTGCAATCATTTGAATCTTATTGCAGCCTTGAGGGGTGATGTGGTCTTTTCCTGCACCTATTTGTGACTTTCCTGTAAGTTGTTTAGGAATCTGTGGATACTAGATTCAACATTGCCAGGGGTAATGTTTCTGCCTTACGTGCAAACTGGGCACGATTGTTGCCCAAGGTTGTTCAAGTTTTGAATATGCGTCTTTTCTCAATTTCATTTGCATATTGCTCAATGATGCAATACAATCAATGTATGTTAAATAAAGCTAATTTTAAAGGAAAAATGTTCAACAACAAAAATGTCTTGAGGTTCATTACAGATCATCATAGAATCCCTACAGGTGTGGAAACAGGCCCTTCAGCCCAACAAGTCCACACCGACCCTTGGAGCATCCCACCCAGACCCATCCCCCTATAACCTACACCTCCCTGAACACTACGGACAATTTAGCATGGCCAATCCACCTAGCCTGCACGTCTTTGGACTGTGGGAAGAAACCGGAGCGCCTGGAGGAAACCCACGCAGACATGGGGAGAATGTGCAAACTCCACACAGACAGTCGCCCGAGGGTGGAATCGAACCTGGGTCCCTGGCGCTGTGAGGCAGCAGTGCTAACCGCTGAGCCACCCTGCCTCCCTAATGATAAATGTGTCTGAAAATGAAACTGTCAGAAATCTAGATCAGAGTTAATGTGTTAATCCTATGAGTATTCTGGGGTTAAATAGTTTTAGGCTTTGTTTGTTGCCACCTCAGTTCGGATGCTCACACCCCACGTGGTCACAGTACCAATGACGTGTGCCAGCATCAAAGCTTTCAAATGAGTTCAAATCCTGAAATTGTGATTTGCTCACTGCCCCACTCCCAACACTTGTTTGCCCTGCACCCTGACTCTCTCTCTCTTTGTCTCTCTCTCTTTCCTGCTTACCTCTGTGCTGCCTTGCTCTTCACTGACCACAGTGCTGAGGGAGCAACATGGCAAGTGGGACGGAGGTAGTGAGGGGTCAGGACCAGTACAACAGTGGAAGTAGTGAGTGGAGCAAGGTGCTGAATGGAGAGAGGCTCCGAGGCGAGTGTGATAGTGGGATGCCCAGTGAGCAGGACACAGTGTGTGGACCAAGGCTGGTGAGGTTTCCTTGGGAGGTCTGGCACCATGCAGGGTCAATGGGTGAAGTTGGCAGTTGATTCCATCCAGGGCACATCAATGAGGTCAGCACCACCAACATCATAATGTGGTAATCAATAATGCACAGTTTTTTTAAATAATGAAAGTGAGTTTGTAGACCTGTCCAGAACCAATTTCTGTTGGATGCTATTAGAATACTGGTTTTCGAAGTAAGTTTGAATTTATTTTCAAAACACACCTGTCAGGACCCTGGAGGCAGGGACTTTAAAATACTTCTTGATTTTTCTCTTTAAGGAAGTAATGCTGGCAGTGAGCATGCTGATTGCACTGCAGCTCCATTTAGCAGTCAGATAATGTGTGTCACTTGTTTTTTTTTCTTCAATATGCAGAAGTTCCATTTACAGTCAATTTTTCAAATTTTCACTGAGAGTCTCTTTGGAAGCTAGCAAATATATGTCGTTACCCGAGGCTCCCACTGGGAGTAATTTTACTCTGGGGGTGTGACCAGTCTGCTGGGTGGGGCCTGCTTCTCTTGACGTTGCTGAAATTTGTCCAAGAGATTGCAGAGCATTTGAGTTATCCTGAATGTAATTTGTGTGAATAATTTGCATTTTTTTTTGTGCTGGTTACACTGCTTTTGGGTCAATTGTGTTAGAAAAAATCTGGAGCTACAAGCTCCAGGGCACAGTAACAAAGGAGGACACATTTTTTGTTTTGAAGTAATGAATTGAGAGTGTGAAGCATTTCTTGCAGGGTTGGTGGCTGAGGAAGAAACAAAGTTTGCATGTAAATATCGATAGAATAATGGTCGCTGGGGAACTGGTGACACTGAAATGGGAATATGTGTTTAAAACTGTTGACTCAACTGAAGTCTCAAGGCTGAGATGAACTGATGAAGCCAAATTGCTCGGTTCTTTGTTGCAACTTGTGTGTCTGTGAATTTCTACTTTCAGCTTTGGCTGCCAGGTCAAATACAATCTAGGCAGGATGAAAAGTGAAGCTGTGTTCTAGTTTAACACCACTACTCTCACTTTGCTTCAGCAATAGCTGCTATATTTTCTGCTGCTCATCTTGTACTCAAGAATGTCTCTTTAAATTCCTACAGGTGTAGCACACTTGCCTCTCTTCCCTGTAAACACGCCCTAAAGCGTTCAACCTAGCATCTCGTCATCTGACCTCAATCTTGCCTATTTTTGCCGATATCGCTGAAGAATCTTGAAATGCTTTCCTACGATCAACTTGCGTTGATCAATACCTTCTTGACATCACATCCTCCTCCTCATCAACAGTGCCATCACTGTCACTATTGTTGCTAATGCTCCAAGTTACTGAGAGTGTTGATATTCTTCCTGTTCTTGGTCTTTCTTTAGCTTGAATTGGCACAGCACCACTCATTTTAAATGATCACATTGTCAGTCAATGAACTGTGCCTTACAATGGGTCAGTGAGATTCATGCTTTTGAGTTGCCCAATGGCAAGGTTCTCTGCCTGATGTATCCAGACGCAAGACATTGACTGCAGTGGGAAAGAATGGATCTGGTTATTGTTTACTACTGAATGCCCACCAAGAGATCCCCACTCCTCTTTCCTGTAACCTACAGCTCTGTCATGTTTTCCTGGCTGTTACAGTGGACAGAGAGAGTCTACTTTTAAGCTTTTGTTTCTGCTGGCTTGTTAGTTGATTTAACTGCTGCTATTAGAAAGGTGATAGGGCAATAGCCAGCATATCGTACAGTCTTGTTGTTTGGAGGGTATGATGTCAATGTGAGCTGATGTTCCAATATTCCATGCCAGAATGTGTTAGTTTACGGAACTGGTCAGCTAAGGAGGTATTTGTACTTGTCTGTTTGAGGAAGAGCTACTTACCAGTCTTCGTGACGTAGAATGTTGAAAGGGGAAGTGTCATCAAATGCACTGTTCAGGATGTTGCTTTGGCCAGTATATTGTGCACAGTTGCTTTCTGGCTCGAAGTTAAATAGTTGAGTATAGATTTGTTGCAATCTGTTGATCTTCAAAAGGCTAGTAAAATGTATCTCTTTTAAATTGAGAATAAATATCTTAAAATTCCCCTATTTAACCATATCAGATGCTAGGCTCTTTGTGACTTTACTAATAAAACTAAGGAGATTGATATATTAATTGGATTGTTTAATCTGCTTTCTGGTAAGCTAAAGGTAACAATTAGGGGAAAAAAAACATTTTCAGTCTAAATGATTTAAGGTAAGATCCGTGGGATTGGGATTGTCACAGCTCCAGCAACATGATGATGTGTTATTGTTGATTTGTTTCTGAAAATGTGCAGTCTGTTATTTCAGCATGCTGTACCTTCATTAATGTCTAAAATGCACCCTTCGATTTTTGTTTATGAAAAAATGTGTAAAACAAATGAATAACAAAAGGAAGTTTGTTCTCATCAGTCTATTTCTTTCCATTCTAGGTTAGTCTCGTGTAGCAAAGATTCAGCAAGATGGATTGTAAGCGACTTATTTATTTTGGACGTCAGCTGGTTCGTCGTAAATATGTGGACTGCACTTGTGAGGAAACCAGGCTTGCTAGATGTTTGTCTACAGTGGACTTGGTTGCCCTTGGCGTTGGCAGTACCCTGGGAGCTGGTGTCTATGTACTAGCTGGAGCCGTCGCCAGGGAGAATGCTGGCCCTGCCATTGTTATCTCATTCTTGATTGCTGCTTTGGCCTCTGTGCTTGCAGGCCTCTGTTATGCCGAGTTTGGTGCTAGAGTCCCTAAGACAGGCTCTGCTTACCTATACAGTTATGTTACAGTCGGGGAACTATGGGCCTTCATCACAGGTTGGAATCTAATCCTTTCATATGTAATTGGTAAGTATGGTCTTGCTGTAGAAATTACTGAGTGACCAGTGACGTTGTTATACTCAGCACTGGATTAGGGTTTAATGATCGCACCGAACTACTGCCATAAACAAGGCGGAAGCAATGGCCTAGTGATATTATCGCTGGACTGTTAATCCAGAGACCCAGATAATGTTCTGGGAACTCGGGTTCGAATCCCACCACGGCAGATGGTGGAATTTGAATTCAATAAATATCTGGAATTAGCAGTCTAATGATGACCGTGAATCCAATGTCAATTGTCAGGAAAAACCCATCTGGTTCACTAATGTCCTTTAGGGAAGGAAACTGCCACCCTTACCTGGTCTGGCCTACATGTGACTCCACACCCACAGCAATGTGGTTGACTCTGAACTGCCTTCTGGGCAATTAGGGATGGCCAATAAATGCTGCCCAGCCAGCAACGCCCTCATCTTGTGAATGAATAAATGATGAATAAAAGGAACACAGAAGTGTAGTGAACGTCTCGGGTGCTTTAGGTGGCATAAAGATCCCAGCTTTGTACCGGATCAGTTCCCTAATCGCAATTGTTGAGGTGCCATGGTTAGCATCAGTTGATTTAGACATGGGATGGGAAATCTGAGGCACGTTTTGTCTTTTTGTCACAAGTCAGTGATTAGTCCTCTAAAGGAACTGATTGTCAGATCGGGATTGAGGGTAGGTTTCACCGATGTAGCACACTATCCTCCATGGTATCAGACATTCAGTTTTTTGATGAATTTAGCAAGCGTTTTGTGTTGGAAAGTTGAGCAATCTGCTATTGCAACATTAATTAATATTTTTTGTCCTTTTTTATATTTTTGTGGGATTGTGGTGCACTTACCTTGAGACCTTCTTAGCAAAGTGCCTATTGCTCTCAAAAGAGTGGTTGCACTGCAGTGCGTCTGTGTGTGAGAAGTTAGGAATCACATCCAGATTTCTTTGGAGAGGGATAAATCAGTTGCTTGATCTTACAGTGGTATATAAGAGTGCCACAAAGTTAATAAGTCACATGAAGTTACACTGCAGTTGCCCTGTACGGTGCAATACTATTAGAATGTTGGAGGACCCAGAGTTTTTAATATAAAATGACTCCAGAATTTTCTTTATTGAGCTTAACATAACATCTGAACTGTGTGCAGTCATTTGTCATAACTTGTCAATATTGTTTAGGTCAAGTCCTTGATATACACTTTTCCAAGCATTAATGATTTGTCTTTTTCTGAAGTGTCATTTGTTGACTGTTAGGCCAACTGTATAAAATCAGACTTTCCTGCTAATTTTGATGCTCAAGATTATCGTTTCTTGGCATCCTTTTGTTTATATGACAGTCGTGCAGATGTGTTAAAATTTTTAATATAATAGGAAACTAAAACAATCTGAATCTGTCTGTTGTGTAACGCCATTAGATTCAAATGGAGTCTTTTGTCATACTCGTACTGTACAACAATTTCTGAGCAGTTTTTTCTCTGTATTGCTGGTACTAGTCTTACGTAGCAAAATGTTTTGTTTACAAATCTTTGAACTAACAGAGCATTTAAACAACTGTTGACTTGAGAGGAAATAATGCATTTTGTAAGTCGGCTCGTTTGAAGTACAAAAATGCTTGCTTTCTCTGAAGTATTGTTTAAATGATTGCATTTTGGCTGCAGAATGAAGAATGCAAATGGGTTTATCGAACAGAAATAGTGCACAAGATGTACAGTTGAGAAATCTAAATCTGCTGACACTTGGTCCATTTATCTCATGCCAGTTTCTAACATCAGGGTCCGTTTGTTTGAGCTTCTAATGTGACATTTGGCAGCATTTAATAACTTTTTCCTGTCTCACTGTACAGGAACTTCAAGTGTTGCAAGAGCGTGGAGTGCTACGTTTGATGAGCTTATTGGGAAACACATTGAGGTGTTTTGTCGTCAGTATATGACAATGAAAGCCCCTGGTGTACTCGCAGAATATCCAGATATCTTTGCTGTATTTATAATTTTACTGCTAACAGGCATGTACACTTTTACATCAACTATTTTACAAATCTGTTATTACATTGATTTTAACTAAACTGACTGAGCTATCATCAGCACATCTATAATTATGGTTTGATTAAGAGTTATGATTTTTTTTGCTGTTTTATTTCATTAAAGTTTAATTGATACTTTGTGTGCTTGTTGGTGGTTAGGTGGGGGTCCTGGGGAAGATCCCAATCTATGTTGTTGGGTGTAATTTCTACTTGGACTTCCTCCATCATGTTTATGGACAATTTGTGCTTTTCCTTTGTTTGGTCTTGATGCCAGTGTCTTTATTTGAGTAACTGTTCCAGCAAACTTAACGTGCAAAGTACAAACTTAGCTTTATTATTTGCCTGTTGATTTTCATAGTCTGTTCTTATTTTCAGTATTTGATATTATTGATACGAGTGCTGGCCTCAATGGACAGTGGATTCCTGAGGTGTGGTGATTTTAATCATGCATTTGAGTCGAATCTCTGACATCAGTGATTCCTCATTGTGGCCCCAAAAAGAAATCTGTCACTACACTATCAGCAGGTGGACTAGGATTGTACCTTTTGGCGCTGTCCATTGTTAATGCTTCTGGAATATGGGAATTCCAGCTATGGAAGTTTATGTTATGAATGTTGTTAGAGTTTCATGGACTAATAGTAGGAGCCTGCCAAAACAATCAAATAAATTTAACTCCCTAGATTTGACAATAGCATGTCGTAGTAATAATCCACTGGAATCCATGTTGGGCATGTGGGCATTAAGAATCCTTTAATCAGCTATTGTGTGCTATTATATGCCCTTCATGTTTAATTTTGGATTTGGAACAAGAATTATAGTGCCTTTAAAATAATTGAATAATATTACGGAGATAGTAGGAACTGCAGATGCTGGAGAATCTGAGATAACGAGGTGTAGAGCTGGATGAACACAGCGGGCCAAGCAGCATCAGAGGAGCAGGAAAGCTGACATTTCGGGCCTAGACCCTTCTTCACAATTTCTAAGCCCGAAACGTCAGCCTTCCTGCTCCTCTGATGCTGCTTGGCCCGCTGTGTTCATCCAGCTCTACACCTTGTTATCTCTGAATAATATTACGAGTTGCTTCAACATTGGTAGTTACGAAAAGTGAGTCGGAACTCTTCAATACATCAGGGCAATCTAGATTGTCAAAATTCATCTATGACCACTTGTTATCAGAACCTTTATTACTGGAGACACAACCAAACCAGTTCCTAGCCCAAGAATCTTCAAATATATAGATACTAAAATGCACTCCGTTAGATTTGGCAGGCCGTTGCTGGGCTGGAGTGTAGATGGGTGGATCTATAATATACTGTGCCATGCCTACCCCTTCCCAACTACAGTTTTACTCCTGCAGGGGAGATACCTACCTGTGGGCTGATTGAGACCTTTAAATGTGCACTTAATAACCACTTAAAGGTCTCGTCACACTGCCATGTTCATTTAATGTGTGATACGAGAGAACAATAGGTTTGATCCTCTGTTGAAAGGAGGAGATAATGTATCTCACTTCTGCGCCAGTGCCCACCCACTGCTTCCTTCCTGTGGCATCCATCCATGCATCCACCCTGTCTCCAGTGTTACCTCCCCCCCACTCCCACCACCACGATCAGTGGCAGCCCCCGGCCAGGCTTATCCTGGTTTCCCCTCATCCAGGGTGCCTTTAGTACAGGCAGTGGTCCCTGCACCATCCCACTGTCCAGCAGCTCTAAAAGGGGCAGATGTCTCCCCACCCCATTATGATTAAAGGCTTGACAGCTAAGAAATGTTCCCCTTAATACACACACCAGACTTTGTTTTGTAGCAAATTCCTTCACATTCGTTTTGATTTCTGGGAGCTTATAGGGACCAGGTTAGAAATTGGATTTGGGGTTGCAGATCGTGGTGGCTGATTGGGCAGGCTCAAGAGGTTGATGGCCCAAAGCTCCTGTTCCATACATTTACATAAATGGCCAAAAAGGCCCCAGCTTTCAGCAACAGAAATGCTACAATTATTGTGGATACAGACTGCATTCAGAATGCCTAATTTTATGGCTCTGGAAAAAGCCAGAAAGACTTCTGAACATTGTTACTATAGTGACAGTTCCTGTAAAACTTTTGTGTGTTGTACAGGAGTTGGAGTTGGAGCTACAGCCTTTCCCATGCTGGTTTGTATGTCCTGTGTTACCAGACCAAGAGGAGAGTGGAAGTAAGAATTGAAAGGGATGGCAGGAACGGTTAGAGAAGCATTTTGAACAGGTCGATAAGGAATCGATCTGTAAATGAGCGGACAGTTGGACACCCAGAAGACCATGAACTTTATTCAGACTGCATTGAAAGGCGCAATGTTACCTCTTGTTTATTGGAGCGCTGTAAAAATATTAGGCTGGATATTCCAAGGAGTGGCAATCACTCAGAGTTTGCAGCTCTGCTCTTGTTTTCATGCCACGAGAGTGCTGTGTGATTGATGACTGGAGATTCCAGTTGGTCTCTGTCAGGAACGTGGAGTGCTGCTACCGTTCTGCGAGGTCCGTCATGGTTGGGGAAGGTGAACAATGCTTTGTTTTTCATGGCAGCCAGCTGCTGCATTCTGATAGACTCAAACAGCCAGTTTGACAGCTGCTGTCAAAAGGTAAATTTGATGGTCAGGGGGCCAGGTGAGTGAGGTGCCAGGCCGTGGTCTCTCTAATTTGTTTCTCTTCTGTGTGGACACATGACAGCAGCTCCTGGAACTGGACGTCAGTCCTGAGATCAGCATCGGGATGTCGGAGATGTGCAGCTTAAAGTGAACATTGGTACTGGGTGGGTAGGAGGTAGACTGCCAGGACGTATGGTGGCCAGGTAAGTGAAGGGGTGTTTAGGACATGTTGTGTTGGATGGGAGAGTATGGCTGTAACGGGCAGGAGTGGATATTGAGTCAGAGCTGTACAGCACAGGAGCAGACCCTTCAGTCCAACTCATCCATGCCAACCAGATATCCTATGTAAATCTAGCCCCATCTGCCAGCCTTTGGCCCATATCCCTCTGAACCTTTCCTGTTCATATACCCATCCAGATACCTTTTAAATGTTGTAATTGTTCCAGCCTTCACCACTTCCTCTGGCAGCTTATTCCATACACGCACCACCCTCTGTCTGAAAAAGTTGCCCCTCAGGCCCCTTTTAAATCGCTCCCTTCTCACCTTAAACCTATGCCCTCTAGTTTTGGACTCCCCTACCCTGGGAAAAAGACCTTGTCTGTTCACCCTATCCATACCCCTCATTTTATAAACCTCTATCCATGGGAGAAAGGGAGAGAGTGTCTAGTCGGGTGGCAAGGGGGAGGTGGTTGTTGGGCCCTAACTGGGGGAAGTGGGGCAATAGGCCCAAAATGGGGTGGGTGGCGATGGTGGTGAAGCTGTCAGATTTGGAGTGGAGGAAAGGGTGGGACTTCTGGTCTAGTGAGGAGTTGTTGGATTAGGGCGTGTAAGGGTTCGGTGGGGGAGATTTGGGGGGGATTAGTTTAGTAGTACTTGGGAGTTAGTTTTGGGTATTTAAGGCTCTAAATTTTCCTGAGTAACTATTAATTTCAGCAGCAACCTCTGAATTATTTCATTTTAAATGAATACAGATGAAGGGGTGTGGTCCAGTGGAATCCTCTGTTTCACAGGCAATTCCTTCTGAGTCTGCTACGATGTGTAACTCCCATCCACACTTCAGAAACCACTATCTGGCCATCGGAAAATCTGGGCCATCTTTTAACTGTTGCTCAATCTATTGTGTAATTGAGACAGGCAGAGATTTAATATATGTCACAGGACATACGCCACGAAGTAGCTGATAACTTCTCATCGAAGAGCATTTTAAAATATGAATAGTGGGCAGATTTTGTCCACCCCAGTGTGATGATGTCTTTCAGGTGACTTAATTCAAATTATATTGCTTTCAGTTTTGCCTATTTTATATTTAACTTGTGTTGTGTCGGTACAAAGCAAATTCTACATCAGTCCCCAAAACTGCAGGATAAAACCAGAATAATTGGTCCCGTACACAATGGTCACAGACTTCAGTAAATAGAAACGTGTAGATTAGGAGCCGGAACAGACTTGAGTTGTAAGGGAAGTGCTACCAGACTATTTAATTGATCTGAGAAATGTAATAAGGTGCTACAAAAATGCAGATTCATTTTTATATTTGGGAAAGTTTTAACCTTTACTAGTAGACAAGATTATTGACATCTTGGACTCGATATGTTTTTAAATTTAGGTTATAAACAATAATAAAAAATGCTGATTTCAACCAATAAAACCATCAAGGATAAACTTGCATTTAATTTTAATCCTTCGTAACTAGAATAATAAGGCTAGCATTTTAATTAAAATTATGTAAACATTTCTTGTTGCCCCTTTCCAATGTGTCCTCCTCTTCTGTATTTTGCTGTTTTCCCAGGTGAATGTTCTTGTTTTTAGCTGCATAACTCCCAGCAAAACTGGTTTGTTTTTAATTCTTTATTTCTGAAGATCGGTGTAACTGAGGGAAAATTGGCTCTGCTGTAAACTAGCTGCATGTTTTAATGTAGCTATCTGAAGTTTTCCCGTATTGATGTGGTCACATTTACTCGTAAATAGTGTTGAAGGGGGATTGATAGCGTGTAGTGCCAGCAATATAATTGAGGTAACTTTAAGGCAGATAGAGTTTGTTAATGTAGCAGTAGTTATTTATATTCTGCGTGTTCTTCTCCACAGCATTGGTGTCCCATCACTGCCTTTTCAGTAGTGCACTTGATCATTCTGATTAATAATTTCTCCGTTCTGCTGTACATAGTATCTTGGCAGCTGTTTCTCAGTTCGTTTTCTGCTTGCACCACCTGATGTTGTGTTTTCTGCTGCTGCTACTACTTAACACTGATGGTATTGAGTCTGCTTTCGAATTGTAGTCTAATGCTTCAGACCAAACCAAGCAGGACCAGGGGGAGAAAAGTTCTGGGCCTTGGTGTTTCATTGATTTTCAGGCTCCTTATCCCGGATGCTCCCAACCTTTCATTGTAGGCTACTTCTGTTGAGGGCTTTGGTGATGTTGAAAGTACAAAACAGAAGGCCATTCACCCCCTTGAGACTGCACCAGTATTTTCAAAGAGACGTTTAATCAGTCGTACCACTGCGTGCACACACTCTGTCTACGTCTCACTGTCTCCGTCTCTCTGTCTCTCTCTCTCATGCTCTCTCACTGTCTGTCTCTCGCACTCTCGGTACCCGCCCCACCCTCCCAAATTTGTTCCTTCCTTTTGTTATCTGCCCGAAGTGTTTATACAGTTTCCATTTGAATACTGATTTGACCCTGTATCGATCACAGGATAGGGAGGAGTATATTCTAAAGCCGAACCCGTTGTTTAAAGATGTTTCCTCTTGTTGCCCCTGGCTCTTATGCTAATCAGTTCAAATGTAATTATATCTGGGTCATCTGACTATTTATCCTTCAGCCATTGAACATGATGCTATTCATTCTGTCTAACCTCTTGTAGTTTTACACATGCCTCCATCAAATCCCCTCAGACTTCTTGCTGCTAAAGACGACAACCTCTGCTTCCTTGTAATCCTAATCTGGAGAATGTCTTTTGCGTTGTCTACAAAGCTTTTGCATGCTTCCGATAGCCATAGTTGGAAACCATAGTCACGGCAAGGTCTGATTGTATTATAGAGGCCTAGCAAAACTTCTTTGTTTTGTGCCTTTCTAGGTAACATTCTGTTAATAGGCAAGCACAGCGGAACTTTGACAGATTAATTTCAATCATAATTATAGAATTCTTTGTAATTAAAAATAACCAGAGGTTTAAATATTTTGAGAGATAGTAAGAGAATTTTGAGGTTTGTTTCTGATGCCTGTCTTTTCATTTATTTAGGGTTATTGTCTTTTGGCGTGAAGGAGTCGGCGATGGTGAACAAAGTCTTCACATGCATCAATGTGCTTGTGCTTTGTTTTGTCATGGTCTCTGGCTTTGTGAAAGGGACACTCGAGAACTGGCAGCTCTCCGAGGATGTCCTGATTAACGGGACAAATGGCTCTGACTTTGAAAAGTGAGTGCAGAGATACCAGCTTTCACACTGATCTGTTGGGAATAGTGATAGCTTCCTGCCTTTCTCATCAGTAGGAGCAACAGGTAGCAAAGAACTTTCCAAGAGTCATACAGCACAGAAACAGACCTTTTGGTAGAGTGACCGAGAGGAGGAATTATAAAAGAGGGAGAAAGAATGACAAAACTGCAAAGGCTGAGAGTAAATATGATGGAACTTTACATAGATTAAAAAACAGATAATCAGAAGAAGAGCCTTAGTTTTCTTTAAACTTTCTATCTATAATCGCATATGAGAGAACTATAAGTGAAAATAATATTGTAAAGGAAACTGGAGAGAAACTACGTAAGTAACTTTGTTATTTAAACAGAACAGGAGGCAGTAATACTGGGTTACATGGAATGATACTATTAATAATGTTCAGATCTCTTTTTGGTTAACTAATGAGCTGAGTGAAATGAAAATATTGGTTATATTTGCCGTGTAAATATCCTGAAAACTATGAGCCGAGGGATGGTGAGAGCAGGGAAGCGGTTGATGGAAGAAAAGAATGACGACAGTTATTATGTTCTTGATAATCCAAATCCAGTCCTCACTTGGAAAAGATTTCTTCGCAGATTTAAACATGACAAGTATATGCCTCCTGATTCTCCCCTCCTCCTGTGTCAGTAAGTGGCACTGTCTATCTGCTAATCAGTTCAATCAGTGCCCTCCTCTTGAATATACTTTAAGGAATGTCAACAGGGTTGGGAATTCTCTTGGGAACGGAGAGTGTGTGATCTTTGTTGCAAGGGATAGTTGGGATATGTTGGGCTCAGTTTGTGGAATAGCGTGCTGCTCAACTTAGCAATGAGAGTACTAGTGCAGTGTGTTAAATTGGGATTCTAGGTTATGCATTGACAACTATGTCTTGCTTTTTCTGTAGTCACACACAAGTATCTAACTGGAATTATGGCTCTGGAGGATTCATGCCCTATGGTTTCACAGGAGTGCTTTCAGGTGCAGCCACATGCTTCTATGCCTTTGTAGGATTTGACTGCATTGCTACCACAGGTGAGGGAAACGTTTTGTCTGTGGGATTCCCCACGTTGAAAGTCAATTTAATCACTGCATGTTGTTTTAACTCGCTGTAAATATCATAACCATGGGAACAGAAACTATTCACTTGTATTCTTTACAGCTGCTTTGAAAGAGAAACATCTGAATATAGCTGATGGTTTTGAGCATTGTTGTGAGTCAGGCACTGTGCTAGGTGTTGCCTGGTGAGGAAGCCAGTTACAGCCGGGGAAATTTCTCATTCATTGCGGTGGCAACACTGGCTCGATTTTTAAATAGAAGCTCTGTAATCGATTGAATACCTGACAGAGCTATGGGGCATGCTGCTACTTCAGAGCTAATGCGTGAACTCTCCAGCAATGTGTTTCCAAGTGAACGTGGGCTCCAGGCAGTAATGCGGAAAGGAAAGATATGGGAGCATTTCGATCAGTCGCCATATTATAATGCTGTGCTGAACCCAAAATGCTTTGTGACTACAAAATGCCCGTGCCACTTACAAAAATAGGAAAAGTTCAAAAGAAAAAATCAGGTTGAATAATTTGGAAATTGCACACATTTCATCCAAAAATTATTTTCTTTATTTTTAAGGGCACAAGCGAAACTCTGTAGAATCTTCTCATTCGCAATTTGATTGCACGTACTTGTTTGGCAGGTTTATTTGGCTTATTAAATCATTGGTTTGTTGACTTCATCAATAGGCTATTTGCACCATATCAAAAATACTTGCTTTGTATGTTGTCTTGTCTAATTCTGAAATCCATAGCATACATTCTTCAGTCTGGCAAACTGCTGTGAAACCAAGGCAGTCCCAGTTGAGCTCAGTCCAAGCTTCTGAAGGACAGTCGCAGCTGCCCGAGTGAAACATCGGTCTATTTACAGAAAACTTAGTACCTGCAGAGAGAACCTCGGAGAGGCAGCAACACGAGAGAAATTCAGAATGATGATTATTCTGGGAGTGTGCAATCCAGAGGTCTCCTCATTTGTAAATCTATCCAGTATTGCATCATCATAATAGTGCATCTGGGAGTATTCTGTGCTTTTATGCTCGTTCTAGGCAATGGAAGCCTTCTCATTTCAAGCAATTCCCTGAACTCCAAGGTCAGATGCAGGGAAATGCTCACTGTACTCTGTATATTACCCCTGTGGCAACTTTGCCATTTCCCACACAAAATGTCCACCAGTGAGAATACAGGAAAAGTGACAATTTTGTCTTTGTAGCTCTGTGCTGCTCTGTAACTACACGAGAACTGTCAAAATGGATTTTGAGTATGATCCACACAGCTGTAGATGGGGAACAGTTTTATTTTCTCAGTCTGTGCTGATTTTTTTTTAGTTTGGTCACAGAAATGGTGGGTATTTCACACAACACAGTTTCAAGGGCATTGGTATGAAGAAAATATTGACTTATTTGTGAAAAAATAAAACTCCTTGAACAAGTATACGACGTTACTTTGGGTCTGAGGATGTACTTGAATAAAAACACAACACAGAATTCTGGAGAAACTTAGCAGCATCTGTGTGAGAGTGAAGCCGTGAATATTTCAAGTCTGATACGACTCTTCTGAAGTTTTGATGTTGTCTTGGACTTGAAACGTTAACTGAGTTTCTCTTTCCGTAGATGCAGCTGAGTTTCTGCAGAATTGTTTGTTTCTGAGGATGTACTGAATGGACGCCTGAGATTTGATCTGGGGGTGACAACTGTTCCTGATTTACAAGTTTGACCCAGATTAAAAGAAATTTAAATTGTTGAAATACCAGATTAAGATGCATCTCTTGAACTTTGAACTAAATGTGCTTGGGCGCAATAGAGTGCATCATAATAACATAAAATTTAATGCAGGCAATTTGATCAGATATTAGCTGATGTTACAGATTAAGGGCCTCCATGGTTGAACGTTTTGGGAAAATGATGTAGGAAGGTTTTGAGGAAGAATCTCCTATAGACAGTGAGTGGTGATGATGGAATTTGTTGCTTTTGAGAGAATTGGAAGCAGTGATGAGGCAGGAAATTAAATCAACCCTTGAGCGAAATAAACTTTGGAGGCCCACAAGGATAGACTGATGGAAATGGCATTGATTGGATTACTCCACAGAACGCTAGCATGAGCCCAGTTGGCTGAATGGCTTCCTCTTCTGCCATAACAACTGTATTGAGTGAGATGCCGAATTGGGTAAATTAGCAATCTGCTTTATAAAATTCTTGATTTACAAAGCATGCCCTTTTCTCTTATGTTGTATGCACAACATGTTGTATGTTCCTTAGCACTCTCTAGATGGAAGTTGGTTTTCCACAGGATATTTTCAAATATTGTTAAATAATATGTTTGTGTTTTACTGTCAAATAATGCTTGCTACGTGGACATGCAGTCAGTATAGGATCAGGTTTATCTACAATATTTCTGCTACTATTGACTAACCAATCAACACTTGCAATCATGGACCACTCCTGAAGAAAGACCACTTGGATAAACTGCATGAGGCTGCTGAATTTATCCCAGGGCGAGTCAGCAGTGTCAGGAAGGAAGGGGAAACCAGGTAGTGTCACAAAAGTATATGCTGCTTAGTCAGGTTGCTTGTTCATTTGAATGTCGGTGTTGTTTTTAATAATGGGCAGCGTGCTGACGTGAGTAATATGACATTATGTTGTGAATCCTTACGCCCTACCGTTCTTTCCTGTATGTTTTTCAGGAGAGGAAGTAAAAAATCCTCAGCGAGCCATTCCAATTGGAATTGTTGCTTCCCTTTTGATCTGTTTTGTTGCCTATTTTGGAGTGTCTGCTGCCCTAACGTTGATGATGCCGTATTATTTATTGGACAAGAACAGCCCATTACCAGTTGCCTTCAAGTATGTCGGATGGGATGGGGCAAAATACGCCGTGGCAGTTGGATCCCTCTGTGCTCTGTCCACTAGGTATTACGTGACTCTTTCTCCAACCCAGACATTAGTATTTTTCTTAGAATGCATGTGCCATTTTTAATGGAAGAATAACTATACATTGTACACATGAGCGATTTACAAAAGGGAACTGCAGAATAATAAGTTCATAGATGAAGAGAAGAAGAAATCTCTTACTTTGGCTGTCACTCTCCTGTCCTCTGTTACAGATTCTAGAATCTAAACCAGCTGGTCAAGTTTCATGTTAGATTAACATTCAAGCAGTTAAACTCTGAAATCAGTTGAACTCTTTGTTATGCCATCAGGGCCATCAAATTAACAGAGGCATTTCATCTGCATACACTAAGGAATTTTTGTTTTCTCTGTTTCATGATTTAGAAAGTACACTATATTTGATTCATAAATGTTCAATCATTTTTAATACTGGATTGGAGGATGCAGAGCTGAAATCAGCACAAAACAAAGTCAGGCCCTTTCATTGGATTGAACCTCCCTCTCCTTCTACCCCACCTCCACGTTCCAGCATGAAACATTAAGAATAATCACTTGAGGAAAAGCTTACCAATGTTTCCAAAGTCCTGGTGTGTAGCTGTAGTACATTTGGAGTGTGTATCAGGAATTACAAAACAAAAGTCTGTGTAGTTCACAACACTTAATGGCAATTTCAATGGGAGTATAAATAGTTTGAATATGATGCGAGTGGCACAGTAAAAGCACCTGTCCCTTTTTGTTAGGAGTACTTATTTAACTTGTTTCCTGAACTGAGCTGGAGGGTCGCTGTATGTTTCTGTTTGCCTCAAGGGATTGATATGACCCAGCATCTCTTTGTGTGTGTGTCTGTCTCGCTCTCTGTCCGTCTGTCTCGCTCTCTGTCCGTCTGTGTGTCTCTCTGTCCGTCTGTGTGTCTCTCTGTCCGTCTGTGTGTCTCTTGCTCTGTCCGTCTCTGTCTGTGTCTCTCGCTCTGTCCGTCTCTGTCT